GAATTTAACGCTGAGTTCAAATTTAAAATTTAAATATTTCTATCTCAAATATCTTTCGAGATATTCAAATTTTAATATTTTAAAGTCGAATAACTCGAAAACTGTCATGGTCACTAAAAAATAAATTGCATATTTGTAATCAGCGTTAAAATCTACATCAAACTAATATATATAATTAATAATTTATTTAAGTTTAAAATTTTCGACGGGACGTCCCGTCGCGACGGGAATAAAAGTTAATCCCTAATTTGATAACACATATGGACTTTGAATGATACGATTCTGTTGGGTCGCAAATCTATGACAGAATATAAGTTTAAATTTTTATAAATATTATAAATAACTAAATGTTATCACATCATACATGACATTTAGCATCTTAATTTTAAAATTATATATATTAAGCCTACGTACAATTGAAATAAATATTTGCTTTAATTATTCCTAAAATAATTAAAATATCTAAAGGGTATATATTTCAATACGATACTTTGCCTCATCAAATTAGCACTTGGTTCAAATGCAAGTTATATTATAAAAACTACTATAATTTCAATAGTTTCGTTTATTTTAAACAGATTTTTAATGTTGATTATATAAACATAAAGTATACTCAATAAATGTTTTGAAAACAACCGAGTTTATTAAATTCGCACTACAGATGCCTGATCTACATTGATATTTGCAACAAAATTATAAACGAAGTAAAATATAAATTTGTCAAATTATTTACCAAATAAAACATAAATTTATAAAAATGTTTTCTAAAGACTAACTTTAGTACAAGAAATAAATAAATTGAACTACAAAGATAACTTAACAATGATTACATCATGGTAAAATATTTTATAAATTATATTTATGTAATTGTTAAACAAGGTGTGTACTTTTGAAGGTCAACTGTAATTCCAGTGCAATGAATTAACATTAGAAAATATGACACAACATCAATATTGCACATAATCTTTAAAATTATGCTATTTTTGCAACACTTGGAAAAAATGGTACTTTTCAGATTGTACATTTGCTCATAAAGTAGCAAATTATAACTTTATAATAAATTGATTTAATAGTTGTAGTCTAATATTTATATAAAATTATAAAATGTTTAATAATTATTTTATAAATTATTTTTGGACCTATTATATAAATTTATAAATAACTATTTAAGTAACCATTTGGCACTTTTTTTTACTAACTTTAATAGTAAATATTTGAGGTATAATAAAAAACTATTGTGCGACTGATTGACAATATTTAAAAATATTTTTCAATGCATGTTTTACATAATATCGTGTTTTTTATATACCATAACAATGTTATAGATACCCAGAATTCGGGATTATCATAATGAATAAAAACATGTAATATTATATTATTATTATAACAGGTGATTATTATACAAAACTATTTTATATAATGTGCATTATTTACAATTCCTTGAAGGTTAGACAGATTTTCTTTAATTATAAATAAAATTTTATTTATTGGCAAAACAATTAATGTCTCATAAATTATAGCCATAATTAAAAATTCCATCATTTAGTAAAACAAAGAGCACATTTTAGTATTACATAAAACTCAATAAGTTATTTAGCAAGTGTTCATAACACGTTTAAATCTTACAGCGTTTATACCACGTTTATATCTGTGATAAATACCATGTCGGCCACAAAATCACTATTATCTCTGTGCATACTATTTACCATAACTAGTGTTGTCATCAGTGGTACCGATCAGTCCCTGTCCGGAGAGGTGCCGACAGTAAGTGGTTTGCGGGACAGGTATGAAGTGGGAAGTGTTATACAATTGAACTGTAGTGCCGGCCATAGTTACCCGGCACCGACTTTACGATGGTACATTAATGGCAACGATGCTTCGGCTGAATATTTATATTCATCAAGGTTTCATCACTAGTATCATCATGGTGTTGGTGGTGGTAGTAGTAATGATGGTCATAACCGGGAGCAGTGGCTTGAACTCAAGTTTGTAGCCCATGATCGTTATTTTCAATCTGGACGTATCGAGTTAAATTGCACGGCAAATGTGCCTGATTATTATATCACATCAACAAAAGTTGTGGCTTATTTAGCCTCATCGGAAAATTTCAACAATCAAGATACTAATCCCAAACACTATGTTCATTATGGTAAGATTAACTACAAATTATATTATAGATTATTATAGACTAAAGTATTAATTTTATTTTTAGCCAATTCATCGCCTGTGCAGACATTCACTGCTTTTACTTTATATTCATTGATTTACTCAATTGCCATTCAGTTTGCATTGTTTCGATACTTTTACCAATAAATTTGTGCTTGGTTAATAATTGCATAATATTTTAATAAAATAATAATTGTCAATAAAAACTTAAACCTCAGCAATTTTTAAGATCAACATTAGCAAGAGTTTTTAAATTCTATAAATTTATGTAAAACTACTAAACATTAAAATGTGTTATTATTTATATTTTTAAATTGCGTTAAAATGTATACTTACTTTGATTTAATAAATTTTTCTTAATCATTTATGAATTTATATAATTTAAAAATAAATAAAATTTTATAAAGTTAAACTGAATATTTTATACCCGTGATCATTAATTGTATTGTTTTAACTATTATTATCATCAAACTAAATATTAAGAAAATTATTAAATTGTATTTATTATGATATTATTTTATTATTGGCATAATAAAACATTATAAACAAGCTGAAGATCACCAACCAGTTGATCCGGTGTTGGACAGACGCCGAGCGCTTATACTTATCAAGTCTGCTCTCAAAAGTGATGTCAGACTTATGCCAATTGACTTCATAACTGAAATCAATTCTTTTATTTGGCTCTAACCTCACCAACACTTGACTCGTGAGGTTTGCGTCAACGATATGATTGCCGTTATATCCGATGTCCAGCTTCTTGTGTGTCCACAAGTAATAGCCGTCGTGTTTGGCATCTGTTTGGCCAACGGATCCCCAAACGGGCAGATCGTCGACAAACATCTCATACCAGTAGTGATTATTCAGCGCCTCTTTGAATGCCCGCACTTTCTCGGCGTTGAGTTCAATCGCGCAATAAGTTTGATAGTTATTTACTGCTCAAAGACATATAATATCATTGAAAATCACTTAATAGATCCCACTATATCTTCATAATTAATAACTATAAAGTTTATACTAATTAGGCATTTAATTCGGGGATTTAATCAAAAATTTTATTCAATTAATGATATTTTGTTTTTAAAATATAAATAATTATTATATAAAGAAATAGATTCACAACCTTTGAAATCTATGGGAAGACCTGAAAACTCGAGTTTGACTCCCAGTCGAGACTCTGCCCGAGACTTGAGATAATGCGATACACCTTATGGTTAATAAAGACATTATATTAACAATAAATATAATAGTAAAGTAAGTTAAGAGACCTTTCTTAGTGCCCATACAGAAAGGCAACCAAAAATAACCATATGCTCTATATTTATTATATCGGGGTCCGACTGTACTCATCCAAGACAGCACCTCATCGTTGTCTTTGTACTAATCATAAGACAGATAATGACAATCAATGGATCAGTTTATGGCATAAATATCACATACAGTGTGCGAGTTGTGATCACTGAGTGTCTCTCGTATAAGACATAGGATTAGTAGCCATAGAAACTGTGGATGGCTTTTGTCATTCATCATAATATACTTTATATAACGGATGAGCGGTTGTGATAAAGATGTTGTCATCGGTTGGGATGTGTTGTTAACACTAAACATAATTATAGGACTAACTTATAAGACAAGCAGAAAAAAGTTTGGGAATGTTTTGTATACAAAGTATTGCCAATATTAGTAGTAATAAAATACATAATGGTATTTCTTCAAGGATTTTCATTCACTAACATAAACTGTACTATACTTACTATAATAATGATCTTATTAGATTTTCTCTATCATGTTGAACACAAAAACAGGTTATGATCAACACCATGATCTCATACGATACTATTTTATACAATGTATATATTTTATCATTGCACAAAGAATAAGAGTGTTACACCTTAATAATGTAATTGATTTCAATCTACCCTCAAATTATTATTGTCTCATTTTTTCTCAAATTCTAGGAATTGGCGAAAATAAAAATTTCACAAAAAAATTAAAAAAAATAAAAACTGCTCACAAGTCAGTTCAGTATGCTAGAAAACTCACTAGGGCAATAACAAATTCACTTTTACACAATACTATTATCGCTAACAATGTTAACAATCAAACAACAACTATCTCTGTGTATATTTCTAACCACGTTTGGTGTTATACTAAATGACTGGTCGTATATGTTTGTGGCGATGCCGGAGATCAGCGGTCATCGGCGCACATATGCGTTGGGAAGTGTTGTGCAACTGAACTGTACCGGTGGTAACGGCAGGACCAGCCCTAAATTGCACTGGTACATTAACGGACAGCCCGCCCCCGATCAATATTTGTACTCCAACTCAGTTCACCATGATCAGTGGCTTCAGCTTAAGTTTCTAGCTGATAATACCCATTTTCGGTCGGGTAGTATGGAGTTAAATTGCACAGCTAACTCGCCAGGGTACTATCCATCGTCCACCAAGGTGGTATCAAAGCTTGTGAAACCACTATTACATTATCACAATCATACTTCATATCACGAATATTATGGTGAGCTAAATGCTGCATATAATAAGGGCATTTTTAATTATGCTATATTTTTGTTACATTTATTTTTACAGCTCAATCATCGGCGGTCACTGTTTTCAATACATATTTACTGATTTTCTCAATTTTTATTTATGTGACTTTTTTGTGTTAATTATAATTTGACAAAAATTAATTTTTTATCAACATGATCTATCTAAAAAATTTTGGCAATTTATTTGAGTAAGCATTTCATTGTAAAATCTAATTTTGATTAAATAAAGCATTCATTTTGTAAATTAAGTTTATTTTATTATAAATAAAACATTTCAAAAATAAATATACAATTGAATAATAAATATCTATATTATATACTACTTTGTAAATAAGTAACTATGTGATTAACAGAAAAATATGTATATATTTAAATAAATTAATGAATAAACGACCAACATGTTTGTTGTTGAGATCGGCGATAATTGGCCTAAAAACAAAGCAAACAAATTAAACAAGGTCAAATAATAATGCGAGCACATTAATACCATTTACTAGTAGAGGTATATTGGCATTTGACAGCTGCACGCCCACCACAATCACCTCGGTGGTCATATTATACAAGCCCACAACACCGGCCGTACAATTAATCCTAATAATACCCGTTTGTAAATAACTAAATGAGGCACGAAATCGCAACACTCGCCACGTATAATAACCAGCATGGTGAAGTGTTGTGACCGGCTTTCTAGCGTAACCACTGGGCGCTGGTTTGCCATTAATGATCCAGCTCACTTGTTGAGGTATTTTGGTGGGCCCAGTGCTGCAGTTCAGCTCAACCGTACTGTCCAACACGTACCGGGGCTTAAGGCCATGTATACGTATACCGTCGCCCATATCCAGGGTGACCGACATGCTCTTGGTCTCAATGATTGTGGCAAATTTTGGCCCTCCAGTGGACACTTCACAGCTGTAATGACCGCCAGAATCCATGGATATATTCTGTATGTACACGGACTCCATGTCCGACAGGTTTGGGTCAATGCTGACGCCCGGGAGTGGCCACCATTGAGCGGGTGGTGAGTTTTTGGGCGAATAGCGGTAAAATTCAACCTGGTTTCTATACCATTTAACCGAGTCTAATGTCCCGCCTTCCAGATCATAGTAACAGTTAAGATGTATGTTATCACCATAATTAGCCACATCGGGCACATCCAGTTGGCACAATTTTATAGCATGTATCACTTTATGCACACTTAATATAGTGATTATTATCAATAGATTAAACACCGATGTTGTGGAGTCCATTATGGTAATTATATTATTTTTGCATAATTTAATATTGGTAAAAACAATTGAGCAGCACTATCAAGATGAGACAATTATTAAACATTCAACACCACTTAAAATATTTTACTCGCCCTAATAAAGATGAAATTACAATGAAAATATAATGTGTGTAAATAGTGTCAGCTATATTAGCCTATTAGTGAATCTTATTTATAAACATGTGAGGTAAAAATAAACATTTGTTGCATATATTGCCAGAATTATATAGGAATCACAGCCTAATTCTATTAATAGCTAGTTATTAGTTGCCTCTCACAAACAATATTACTATGTTGTGCTATCCCCTAAAATGTGAACATAGAATATTGTATATCCACTATATTAATTGAATTAGTATTGCAAAAATATTTAAAAATGTAGTTAAAATTACACAAAACATTAAATATAAAACTCCAAATAAATCTAAATAATCTTATTCAAATTAATTCACGATTGTATTTTAATAATGTGTGAGACAAATACAATACAGTATAATGCATAACATATTGTATTAAAATATAAAATAATTTGTAGTAATAATTTGTTATATTTTAATTTTTAAATAAATCATTTAATTTGGCAAATGATTTTATTATATTTTTATAATTTAGTAAAACTTATAATATCCAGATATTTATAAATTACACAAATATTCTTTAATTTTTAATATCTATAAATATTAGAAATAATTTTTAATACATAAAGCTTTACATTATTAGTATTGAATGGTAGATATTGGGTGACAATGACAAGGAATGTCATTATTAATAACTCATAAATAAATGTATTGTATGTCATTTGCTAGGAATTGAGGCTATAAGAGCCGATAGGGGTGTATTGTGCGGGACAGGTATGCTGTGATCAGATGTCTGTCAAGTTATCATTAATTAATGTATACGAGAATTAATTATATATACCATACATTATGTTATCATATGTTCATTCATAGTGGCGATCGGCTTGAAGTCAGTACCTAAAAGCAAAATGAATTTTTATAGTAATTATAATAAATGAATTATAATATTAAACTTTTAATTTCATTTATAGTGAACAAACATGATACTTATCATCGCATTTGGTTTACTGTCGGCTGTAATGACTCTTTCAGGTATGTATGATATGGTACTACAAATAGATAGAAATAAATCCAAATATTTTATACTACACTGAAATATGCTTTAAACCTGATAAGTATTTGATTTTTATAATTAAATCACATATTTATTTGCTTTAAAGGATACAAATAGTCACGTGAAACAAGTCCACCCCACCTCACAAACACACAGTTACAAAATATAACCATCATAATTGAAACAATACTTGCTGCGACATTGTAGAAAATAACATACATAAATATTTTATATATAAATTATGTGTAAAAGCTAGGGTGATCAAACATCCTCCCGAGACCCTGGGGAAGACAATAAAATGTTTACCTTGATATTTTCACAAAGTTATTAGTAAAAATGTCGTATTTTGAATATATATTTTAGCTAAAAATATAAAATAACTTATATAAAATAAGCATGTTGCCTTTAAACTGCCTAGTTGCGCACCCGTGTCCGGACAAGTGGACAATTACTGATCGGTACTGTTACCGAACAATAACAGAGACGGTGGCCACGTTGGCCGAGGCCAAGACAATGTGCGCGGCACTGACTAGCGGTTCAGCGCTCGTTACCATTCACAACAGCGCCGATAACATTGAGATCACGAGCGTTTTGAACAGATCTTACGTCAACACAAGCTTTTACATCGGGTTAACATTAAATCTGGACGCCATTTCGAATGGCCAGGGGGAATGGCTGAACCTGGGCGATGATAAGGCATTATTTCATTGGGATGGTGCCCCAGTTACCGGTTTTTTACCATGCGCCTACATGAACATGGTGGACGGCAAGATTTCCGGTTGGCTCACTCGTAATTGTGAACAACCAATGCCGTCACTGGTGTGTCGGCTGCCCGTCAGACCATTGGACAAATTTGACAAATTGTACGTCCAATTGAAAACGCTCGAGGCCATCATGTACGATACAAGCGTTCCCATAGGGTTCGTTTACTTACAATTGCCCAACCAGTTGGCTCCGGTACAAGTTTGGGGCAGTAGGTACAAGTGGGCCGATGTGACCAAAGCGTACGCCGGGCTGTTTTTGCGGGCTGAGAGCGGCGGGTCGGCCGCCGCCAACGAAACAGGTGCCACCGGCCAGACGGCCGGTCCGCGCGATACTGCTGTTAGAGTTTGGCGCCGTATCGGCTAAATTGATTATTCTAATACTTTCTAATTAATATTTTTAATTTCAAGTAAATCATTTAATTAGTTTATATTTTCAATATATTACAATTTTATTTAATTTGGGATTTAAAGTTATAGTAGTAAAGTATTTATAGATAGCATAAATACTGTGTAACGTGATTAGTACTAGTAATATCATATAATTATTGAAATTAATTTAAAATTGAGTTTCACAATTTTAATGATTTATAAATATTACTAATAAATATTACTGTATTAGATATAAACAATGTATAACTAATAATGTAACTTAAGTTTACTTATAATGAACTTTATATAATAAAAAGTAACATTTATGAAAATTCTGTTGCGAAATTGAATTTAGTATTTGATTGACAAATATGTATAAATATTTAAACTAACAGATAATAAATATACTGTAGATAAAAATATTTTCCAATAAAACATTTTAACAAATATATAGTTAAATAGTTTTATAATAACTTATTTGAATAATTCATTGAGTTAAAAATAATGTGTGAGAAAACTATGCCTTCATATATTTATACTATACGGACAATGCAATTGTCTGATTGTCAAGAAGTTCAAGAGATATGGATTTCAGTTGGTTTTAATATTTATAAATACGGCAACGAAATGATGTTACTAACTGACCATGATGGTTCAGTTGTTGCTCAAGACAATATTACAGGTATATTTACTTAAATCTCATATACTTATTAATCACATAGTTTGTATGTTATATTAATTTAATATTTAATAAATTTTAAATTAAGGTAAATTGTTGGGATTTATTTGCGGTGTAAATCTATCTCCAGAGCTATCATACGGAGCTATGTATGCCGTGAGACAAGAGTATCAGGGATTAGGCATTGGATCTACACTTTGTGATAAACTCATTGTACATTTTGGCGACAGAAATGTTTGCGTTTATGCCGGCGATCAGAAAATGTATAACAAATACAAAGATCTTTATAAATTCAATGCAATTCCTCAACGAAAACGACTTATAATGAAAGGCAAACCTGTGGTCAACGGTTTGACGGCTAGTATTCGCGGCATAAGTTTGGTTGACATGAATGATAAGAATATCGCGGATGTGATTGAATACGACAAACAAGTCTGCGATGGACTTGACAGGAGTGCACAGCTCAGGGCACTCAACGGCAGGTTTGAAAATATAAATTCTGTGGCCATTAATGATAACAATCAAGTGATGGGCTATTGTTCAGTATCTGAGACGGCTTCTGGCGATCCATTCGTTGCCCCACTTTATGCCGATAATCAACAAATCGCTGAATTATTAGTTGGAAATTGTTTACAACGGATAACCGATTGGGAGACCAAAGAGATATACTATTCGTGTTGGGATTCAAATCCAGAATCATTAGAAATTGCCAACAAATTGGGATTAAAACCTCGAAAACAAATACCAATAATGTTTACAAAGAAAATTATTGATGGTCAATTGCATAAAATATATTCAATTGCGCTTTCAGTAATGTATCCGTTTTGATAAAGAATTTGTTTTAATCAAAAATTACTACAACTGTTCATAAATGATAATACCGTACCAATGAATTAGCTATGAATTTATAAGTTTGTTGCCTTAAATTTTAATATTAACAAAAGTGTCATTTTTTGTTTATTTTGACAGGACACATTTACGTGAATTTATATGTTTAAAATAAAACATTTTATAAATACTAATTTTATACAAGTTTAGAGTTGTGAGATTAGTGTGTGAAACAAATACAATACAGTATAACCTATTGGCAATTGTATTAAAATATAATTTGTACTAATAATTTGTTACATTTTAATTTTTAAATAAATCATTGAATTAGTTAATATATAACAAATAATTTTATTCTATGTAAGATTTAAAACTTATAATAACCAGATATTTATAAATAACATAAATATTCTGTAATTTGTAATATCTATAGATATTAGAAATAATTTTAAATTGAGTTACAGATTAATAGATGTCTAAAATATTTTATTACTAATAAATATTACTTTATAAAATTTACAATATATTATAAATTATATAATTTACATTTTATATTTATATAAGAAAATGTGTTATATACATGTATGTGAAATTTGTTTCGACAAGGACATTAATTTTAGTATTTGACGAAATAATGTTTAAACAAATTGATAATAAATATAAAATATTTCACAATATTTTTAATATACACTAAGTTATATAAGCAGAGTTTTATAAAAAATTATTTAGTATTGAGTTATAATATTGAGAATAATGTGTGAGAAAACTATGCCTTCATATACTATACGGACAATGCAATTGTCTGATTGTAATGAAGTGCAGAAAATATGGATTTCAGTTGGTTTTAATAAATATAAATACCGCAACGAAATGATGTTAATAACTGACCATGGTGGTTCATTTGTCGCACAAGACAACATTACAGGTATATTTTAATTAAATTAATTTATTAATCACATAGTTTGTTTGTTATATTAATTTACCATTTAATAAATCTTAAATTAAGGTAAATTGTTGGGATTTATTTGCGGTGTAAATCTAACGCCAGAGCTGTCGTATTGGTCTATGTATGCCGTGAGACCAGAGTATCAGGGATTAGGCATTGGATCTAAACTTTGGGATAAACTCATTGTACATTTCGGCGATAGAAATGTTTGCGTTTATACCGGCGATGAAAAAACGTATAACAAATACAAAGATCTTTACAAATTCAATGCAATTCCTCAACGAAGACGACTTGTAATGAAAGGTAAACCTGTGGTCAACGGACTGACGGATAGTATTCACGGCATAAGTTTGGTTGACATGAATGATAGCAATATCGCGGATGTGATTGAATACGACAAACAGGTCTGCGATGGACTCGACAGGAGTGCACAGCTCAGGGCACTCAACGGCAGGTTTGAAAATATAAATTCTGTGGCCATTAATGATAGCAATCAAGTGATGGGCTATTGTTCCGTATCTGAGACGGCTTCTGGTGAACCATTTGTTGCCCCACTTTATGCCGATAATCAACAAATCGCTGAATTATTAGTCGGAAAATGTTTACAACGGATACACAATTGGGAGACCAGAGAAATATACTATTCGTTTTGGGATTCAAATTTGGAATCATTAGAAATTGCCAACAAATTGGGATTAAAACCTCTACAAATACCACAAATACCAATACTTTTTACAAAGAAAATTATTGATGGTCAATTGCATAAAATATATGCATTTGCGCTCTCAGTAATGTTACCGTTTTGATAAAGAATTTGTTTTAATTAAAAATTATTATTAATACAAGTGTTTATAAATAATACTAAATGATAATTACTGTAGATAATCTATGAATTTATGTTTATTGCCTTAGATTTTTAATATTAAACAAAAGTTCAATTTTTTGTTAATTTTGACAGGACACATTTACTTGAATTTATATGTTTAAAATAATTAAAACATTTTATAAATATAAATTTTATAAGAGATTAGTGGACTACATAAATTATTATATTAGAAAGGTATATTTCAAATTATTTTAACATTGTATTTAACAGATATCATGTTAAAATAATTAATTTTATTAATTGACCTTAAACTTTGATTATTAATTTGTTAAAATAAATATATTTGTAGCCAAAAAGTGTCTGTATTTAACCGTTCAGTTTAATTTAATTTGTGTTTAATCTAGTTACATTAACACTGGTGGTAATATTGTACAGACCTTTAACACCAACGGTACATTTAATCTGAATAATATCCGATTTGAAATAGCGTTTAGTGGCATTAAATTTGAGCATTCGCCACACATAATAACCATCATCTCTTTATAATCTATATGCATCATTTGCAAATTGATCAGGAACTGGTTTCCTATTAATGACCCACATCACTCGTTGCAATAGTTTAGTGGGACCTGAGCTACAGTTCAGCTCAACCAGACTGTCCAACTCGTACCGGGGCTTAAGGCCATCAATTGATGGACCGTTACCCATATCCAGTGCAACATCCATGTGTTTTGTCTCATTAATTATGGTAAAATTGGGTGCATCGGTAGACACTTCGCACATGTAGTCGCCTAATGAACTGTAGGTTATATTAGTTAAATACACGGAATTGATACCCGGCTGGTTTAGGACAGCGTGCATGCCTGCCTGCGGCCAAAATTTAGCTGGTGGTGAGTTTGTAGGTACATATTGGTAAAATTCAACATGGTCTTTATACCATTTAACTGATTTTAATGACTCGTTTTGTAGATCATAAGTGCAGTTTAGTTGTACATTATCACCATAATCAGCATATTCAGGGACATCTAGATTGATTAGTTTTACGGCATGTACCAGTTGATTAACGTTGATTATGCTGAAATATATTATAACATTAAACAGTATTGTTGCAAATCCCATTATAGTAATTATAAGTTTGATAAAATATTAATTGGTGTAAAAACTGTTAGAAATGCACTATGTTATATAATACTGTAATTGCAACACAATAAGGTTTGTTATAATCATGCTGATTAAACACTGTTTGAAATATTTTATAACATTTAGCATTATTGTTGTGAATGTTATCTATTGGTTTGATAATATATTGATTTATGTAAAAACAAAATAAACTTGCAAAACAATTATAATTAATTACCATGCTGAATAAATACTGTCTGTTAAAATAAAATTCCAGCTAAATGGTACATGCCAATAAAGTTTTAAATGATGTTTGTTTAAAACTATTACCTGGTTGAAATTACAGTATACGTTAAACAAAAATATTTAAATGATTTTAAGTACAAAATTGCAGTTACAATGTATAAATTGCAATACGTTTACTTACTAGTTAGTTAAATATTTATGTCCAGAATATTTTCTCAAATCTGTATCCCACAAATGACTGTATATAACAAATAATTTTATTATATTTGGAAATTAAAACTTATAATATCCATATATTTATAAATAACACAAACATTTTGTAATTTGTAATATTTACAGATATTAAATATAAATTTTAATTAAGTGACAAATTATTAGTTATCTAAAATATTTTATTACTAACAAATATGACTTTATAAGATTTACAATATAGTAACTTATAAATTATATAATTTTATATTTATATAGAAAATTGTGTTATATATGAGAATAGGACATTGATCTTCGTATTTAACGAAAAAATGTTTAAACAAACTGATAATAAATAAAATATTTCACAATATTTTTAATATAAAGCAGAGCTATATTTATAAAGCTTTTTATAAAACTCTTTACATTATATAAGCAGAGGTTTATAAAAAATTATTTAATATTAAGTTGAGTATTTAGTATTGAGAATAATGTGTGAGAAAACGATGCCTTCATATACTATACGGACAATGCAATTGTCTGATTGTAATGAAGTGCAAGAGATATGGATTTCAGTTGGTTTTAATATATATAAATACGGCAACGAAATGATGTTAATAACTGACCATGATGGTTCATTTGTTGCTCAAAACAACATTACAGGTATATTTTAATTAAACTAACTAAATACTCCTACACTTTGTTTGTTATATTAATTTAACATTTAATAAATGTTAAATTAAGGTAAATTGTTAGGATTTATTTGCGGTGTAAATCTAACAACAGAACTGTCGTACGGAGCTATGTATGCCGTGAAACAAGAGTATCAGGGGTTAGGCATTGGATCAACACTTTGTGATAAACTCATTGAACATTTTGGCGACAGAAATGTTTGCATTTATGCCGGCGATCAGACTATGTATAACAAATACAAAGATCTTTACAAATTCAATGCAATTCCTCAAAGAAAACGACTTTTAATGAAAGGCAAACCTGTGGTCAACGGACTGACGGATAGTATTCACGGCATAAGTTTGGTTGACATGAATGATAACAATATCGCGGATGTGATTGAATACGACAAACAGGTCTGCGATGGACTCGACAGGACTGTACAGCTCAGGGCACTCAACGGCAGGTTTGAAAATATAAATTCTGTGGCCATTAATGATAACAATCAAGTGATGGGCTATTGTTCAGTATCTGAAAACGCTTCTGGCGATCCATTCATTGCCCCACTTTATGCCGATAATCAACAAATCGCTGAATTATTAGTTGCAAATTGTTTACAACGGATACCCAATTATGCGGTAAAAGAGATACGCTTATCATGTTGGGATTCAAATCCAGAATCATTAGAAATTGCCAACAAATTAGGATTAAAACCTCGACACCAAATACCAATAATGTTTACAAAGAACATTATTGATGGTCAATTGCATAAAATGTATGCATTAGCGCTTTCAGTAATGTATCCGTTTTGATAAAGAATTTGTTTTAATCAAAAATTACTGCAAATGTTTATAAATTATAATACTGTAGATAAGCTATGAATTTATATTTATTGTCTTTAACTTTTAACATTAAACAAAAGTTTAATTTTTTTGTCTATTTTGGCAAGACACGTTTATTTAAATTTATACAGTATGTTTAAAATAATTAAAACATTTTATAAATATAATTTTTTACGTGATAAGAGTTGCGATATTAGTGGATTACATAACATAAATTATTATATTAAAAAGATATATATCAAAATATTTTAGGATTGTATTCATATTATGTTGTTACAATAACAATTTTAAAATAATTATTTTTATTAATTGACCTTAAACTTTGATTATTAATTTGTTAAAATAAACATATTTATTAGCCGAAGAATGTTTGTATTTGACCGTACAGTTTAGTTCAACTAGATTATTTACTCAATAATTTAATATTATAAATATAACATATATTATTATTTAATGACTGTGAAATTATATGACATGAAATTACTTTATCATAAATTAATAACTGATAATAAATATACTTTTATATAAATGTTTATATTTCTAGTGTTTTGCTTATTTGACAAATATATTTATTTTAATTATAAACATAATTGTTGTAAAAATTTTGAAAGTTCTCATTGGATTATATAAAGTTAAAGTAACAAAATGATTTATAACTTAATGACATCGTTGTTATTATTATTTAATGAGCCAAATGTCGCAAATCAATTGACAGCCATTCAAAATCCCGATCAGATTGTAATCAATGCTAACAATGAGTTTACTTTCCATATATTCAATACATTATCAAAGGATGGAAACGATATGTTGTCTCCCATTTCAATACTCTCAGCCTTTAGTAAAGTGTTTTAAAATATTATTTATAATTGAATTATAATTAATAAATGTTAATATCATTAATAAACAGGTATTTTAATGAACGGCGCGAATAACGAGACACTAATAGATTTGAAACGATTTCTTCGGTACAAGAATTCTGTGACTAAATTCAGTGATCAGACCATTAATAATGGGTTTAAAATATTGATAAATAAATATCATAATGAAAGTAAGATTTTTAAAATTTCTGACATGGTAACTTTACTAATAGTTATTTAGATATCTTTAATTTAAAGACTATTGAAAATAACACCACAACACCTGAGATCGACACCGATGAGAAATTTGATAGACCTTATGGGTTAAGAATTAAATACGATAACCCTGATGACCACAAACCGGTTATAAATATAGTCAATAAATTTATTCACAGTATAGATGTGCCAATTGTGGCCAATTTTACCAATATTATTGGCCACTATTATAGAGCACATATAGAATCGGCTGATTTTTACAATAATAATATTGAAGAGACAGAGAAAGTGAATGAATGGGTGAGAAATAAAACAAATAATAAAATATCAAAGATTATTGATAAATTGGATACATCTACAACCGCAATAATTATAAATGCTGTATATTTTAAAGGTATTTCTATTTAAAATATTGTTATTATTTTAAACATTTTGTATACTGTAACTGATAGCAACATGGTCAAAACAATTCAAAACAACTGAAAAATTACACTTTTTTAACGATGGCAGACACGGTATAAAAGTGGACACAATGTCAGTCACCGATGATTTTAACTACTTTGAATCCCGAGAACTCGATTCACGTATTTTAGAATTACAATACTTGGGAACAAAAATCAGTTTTATTATAGTTTTACCGAATTATATGATAAATGGTTTGCAAAGAATAAAATCACGAATTAATTCGCAAAACTTAAAACAAGCCGTAAATTCATTGCAATCAACTTATATGAAGTTATTTATACCAAAATTTACGGCTGAAAACACATATGATTTAAAACGAGACATTAAACCACTGCCCATAGCGTTAACACCGGTCGCAGACTTATCACGACTAACACCTGTACCTCAAGAACTGTGTGAAGCCATACATAAAACTTATATATCGGTGGACGAGAGGGGAACGGAGGCCGCGGCCGTCACTTTACTTACTTGGGTTTTATTTTCCGGTGGAAATCCCGATCCCATACCTGTTATATTCAGAGCAAATCATCCGTTTCTATACTATATTATGGATAAATCCAATGGTTTGATACTATTCTCCGGACAAATCAATAAACTATAATTTATATAACTTAATAAATGTTTTTTAATAAATTTTTTTCACTTTATCAATGAATTATAGTTGTATTGATATAATATATTATTATTAATAACTACATTATTAACTATATTAAAGTTTACAACAATTTAAATAATATATACTTTTATTTTGCAATATTAAAAATTAAATTTATATATTTATAGAAATACATAGAAATTTTTAATAGTTTTAGATTTGAATTTTGATATTACAATTTTTAAAAAACAAATATATTATATTTTAAACACCCATTTTAGTCAATATTGTTTTTTTATAGTAAATTAAACCATCATTTATTTTATACGATTCCTTTAGAATTTATTATTGACGTTTTGTGTTATATAAAAAATTACAAATTAATATTTGAGTAATTAAATAAATGTTAGGTATTATAAATGTTGAGATAGAATTAAGATATAAATTACAATATAGGTATTGTTTTAATAGTTAAAATAATTATATCTGCTAAAAATAGTTTCAAAGATAAACTCAAGGAATTTCAATAAAATATCAAGAAAAATATTACATACAAGTACATTTCTCCAGGAAATTGAAATTTTAACCTGAGAACACTATTCGTTTACCATCTTATGTATTAATTGAATTAAAACTTAGGCCCTTACAGTTAATGTTAAGTATTGTGTTGTACAATATATTTATTTTGAAAATGATTGTGTTAATAAATGGCGGTTTTTGAATTTCCATATGGTTTAATAAAAGTTAATGTAAGAGAGAGAGTGAGAGAGAGAGAGAGAGAGAGAGAGAG